TGAAACAGTGGGCATGAGTTTCTTAACAGGTTAATGTTTAACCGTCTCATCCATTTCACCTCAACAACTGAAACCTACTCTTATAAAATATATGACTATATATGACTCTAGCCACTTCCTCAGGAATTTAATTTAGATTTTTTTTTTTTTTTTACCTTGCGACCAGCCAATCAGTCAAAACTTGGTCAATTACCATCAACTAACATTTGGTCGACTATGCAGTTTATAACTATATTTACTGGTACAGCCATGAATCCTATTGTATCCTATCATGTTTAATGGCATGTGCTTCAGCTTTCTTGTTCCGACATTACTGAGGTTTTGTAAAGCATGACCAGATCTCCAAGTTTCCTCTCTGCAGGCTTCTCTGGCCTGTAACTGTACATGTCTGCAGTTACTGACCGCACCAACCTGCCCAGTGTTTGTTTGTTTCTCTAAACTCATCAGTTCTCTCCCTCTCTTCTCTCCTCTCCCCTCAGTCGGTGGAGGCAGATAGTCTACCACCAGGAGTCCCATTTCCTGTTAAAACAGGGATTTTCTTGCCGTCAAGCTCTTGTTGAATTGTAAATTGTTGGCTCTCTCTCTCCCTTGGTGGTATAGCAATAAAATTAAATTGAATTGAAAAGAAAAAAGAATCTCGATCAACACATTTTTGCACAAAAGCTTTGAAGAGCTTTTGTGCAAAAATATGTTGATGGACCCTATTGACAGTGCTGGGCCCCAGTGGTGTACAGTGGTCATTCTGTTATGATTCATAGCTATTTTGGTGCAGTTTGCTGTGTCATAATACTTTTCTGTGTCGTAATTTGAGTAATCAAACAAATTTAAGAATATACCCCATGTAATCATAATATCACCTGAACTAATGAGAATTTTGAAACTGGATTTTGAGCCAGCTTTTATCACAACAGGGCCTCAGGATCAAGACTGCAATTCAGTTTAATTTTAATTGCGACATAAGTCATCTCAGGAAAATTCACAATGGAAGGTTTTTGATAAAGCCTAAAGTTAGGGCTGCTCAGGATCACCTGAACTGTGCCTGCTGCTATAGGAGTAGACTGCTGGGGGACTACCACAATGCACTGGGCTCCTCTCCTTTACTCTCTCCTCCTACAATACAGTTACATATCACCATTACATATCACTAACTCTGTATTTCCCACAAGGTCCTGTGTTTGTTCTGTCGGCGGATGTCTCTGGATCTGGAGCTTCACGTCTCCGGTCTGCAAAATGTTCATTGTCCTGTTTGTATTGTTTGTCTGTTCTCCATCTGCCATCCTGCTATCCTCACTCCAACCCCGTCTGCTCACTCCAATTGAGCATCTGTGGAATGTGCTGGAAAACTAATCTGATTCATGGAGGCCCTACATTGGTCAAAAGTTACAGGTCATCCAGACCTTTATGTCCGTCAGACATGCCTGGAGTTTGACCATCTGGTGATTTAATTTGGCTTCATAGATAAATATAACTGGGTGTCATCTGTATAAGAATGGAAATGTATGCAGTGCTTCCTAATAATATTGGCTAAGTGGAGCATGTACAAAGTAAATAATATTGGTCCTAACGCAGAACCCTGTGGAACTCCATAAAGAATTCTGCTGTGGATGGAAGAATCATCATTAACATAAACAAACTGGAATCTGTCTGATAAATATGATTTAAACCAATTCAGTGCAGTTCCTTTAAGCCCAATTACACATTCCAGTCTCTGTAATAAGATGCTGTGATCCACTGTATCAAATACAGCACTGAGATCCAGCAGAACAAGTATAGAAACCCGTCCACTGTTTGAGACTATAAGTAGATCATTGGTGACTTTCACCAGGGCTGTCTCTGTACTATGATGTATTCTAAATCCTGATTGAAACTCTTCGGCCAAACCATTTCTATTGTTGGGACTGGCTGCTGTAAAACCCATCGACTCTGCTTTGTGTTTATTTAATTAGGGAGTTGGAAGGCGGAAACGTCTTTTACCGTTTATTGGTCCATTTGGCAAATATAAGAACACTCTGGTCAGTGGGCTCGGGGCATCTCGAACACAGCACACTATGAAAGGAGCAGCACGGTCTAAGCTAATTTTCGCTAGCTAGCTAACTTACGGAGTTTCTCAAACTCGCCATAAACATATTTAAACAAAAACATAAAATACACATCAATACACTCTAATGAACATTCATGTAGCTGATAGTGCAAATACACTCATATGACAAAAGAAAGAAAAATAATTAAAAAAAAAAACAAAAACATTCATGTGCTCCACAACCTACCTGGTGCACACCTCTCAGGAACTGACAGTATGGCACTGGAGCCAGCAGCACACCACAGCTCCTGAGAGGGCGCCACTGAGTCAAGAACAACAAATCTAATGACATCCAAATTACAGCAAGTGGAATTATTTACATACCCACATATACAGTCTTACACAAACAGACATGTTGCTGGTTTAGATGAATTTACTATCGATATGAGTTCTGCCAGATTTACATCAGACAAGAAGTCCAAGCATAAATCTGGTCATATGGATGCTTCCAGAGCTGCTGCACCTAAAGACATGGTTGTGATTTTTTTTCAAATATTTAAAACTTTATCAGTGAAGAAGGTCTTAAATTCTTCACTGCTGAGAGGTAAAGGAACACAAGGCTCCACAGAGCTGTGACTCTTTGTCAGCCTGGCTACAGTGCTGAAAAGAAACCTGGGGTTGTTCTTGTTTTCCTCCATTAAAGATGAACAAGAAGCAGTTCTTGTCCTGTAGATCAATGTTTTTTAATGTGATAAAACTATCTTTCCAGGCTTTTTCTGAATTTGTAGAGCACCACTGTCTTGCCAGTCTTCTTGAATTCTGCTTTAAGATGTGTAGCTGTTGACTACACCATGGAGCTATTCTTTTATAACTCATTTTGTCTTCGTTTTCAGAGGGGCAACAGTATCAATTGATGAACGCAGTAAAGCTGCAGTTCTGTCAACAAGATTATCCACCTGTGTGGGACTAACATTAGAGGAACTGCTCTTCATTGTGTTGGCATATGGCATTGAAGTAAATAATAATGGAACCACTTCCTTGAATTTAGTTACTGCATTATCAGATAGAGGGCTGCAGGGTGGTGCAGTTGGTAGCACTGTTGCCTCGCAGCAAGAAGGTTGCCGATTTGCGTCCCGGTGGGGGCACCGGAATCTTTCTGCGTGGAGTTTGCATGTTGTCCCCGTGCAGCGTGGGTTCTCTCCGGGTTCTCCGGCTTCCTCCCACA